ATTTCTCCTCCTTCCTAAAACAAATAAGCAAATAAAAACAGACAAAATATATGAAAGAACAATTTTGAAAATACTCAACATCAGGCAACAAAGGATAGTTGAAACAGTGATAGTTGAAAGATGGGAAACAAGATAAGCTCTACAATTGCCCCAGCTTACTGTTTTGAGAGACCTTCCAGGCAACAGGGCAGTAAGAGGGAGTTGAGGTGAAAACTGGCATACAGAGTTTAAAAGAAAAAGCTGACAGTTCAGGAAAGCCAACAAAGCTAGGTTTCCTAGGACAAGTTACCAGGAAAGAGAAAGCTGTACAGAGAGAAAACCTAAGAAATAACCTCAAGTATTCAGCTGAGTAATGATCAATGAGCATGTATGTGAGAAATATACTCAATGTATTTACTCAGTCTAAAAATACAACTGATAGGATTAAAGAGAACAGTAGATATTCCCACAAGCAAGACTGAAAAAACTCATAATTAATTATAATTGGCAAAGTACTAAGGAAAACCTTTCCTTAGTAGACAAGAACAATTAATGCTAAAGTAAACATTGCTACAGATCCAACTAGCAAATCATAAAAGCAAGATGTAAAAGTATCAAACTGTTTCCACATAACTTAGCTGCATCCCAGAACAAAGCTCAAGAAGAGTCATAAGAATGCAAAAATAGCCAACACCCAACAAGTTACAATTTACAATGCCTGGCATCAGATCTAAGACAACAGACATGCAAAGAGTCAGGAAAACACATACCACACTGATAATAATCAATCTAAACCAACCCAAAACTGACCAAGATGTTAGAATTAGCAAAAGAAGACATCAAAACAGTTATTATAACAGCATTCAATATGTTCAAAAGTTAGGTAGAGAATGGAAGATATTAAGAAGTCTCAAATTAAAATTCTAGTCATAAAAACTACAACATCTGAGATGAAAAAAATACACTGAATTGTATAAACAGCAGATTGGACATTGCAGATAAAAAGAGAAATAAACTTGAAGGGATAGTAACAGAAAGTACACAAAGTGAAACACAAGGAAAAAAATAAAATTTGGTTTAATAAAAAGAACATAAGTGTAGGACAACATCAAGCAGCCTAATATATTGGTGACAGAAGTCCCTGAAGAAGAGGAGAGAAAGGAGGGATCAGTACAAATATTTGTAGAAATAATGGCCAAAATTTCCCCAAACTCTATGAAAACTATAAACTCACAGATCAAAGAGCTCAACAAACCACGAACACAAGAAACATAAAGAAAAACACACCAAGAAATATCATAATTAAATCGCATACAACTAGTGATAAAAAGAAAATTTTAAAAGCAGCCTGAGAAAAGACACATAATGCACAGGAAAAAAAAAAAAAAAGATGACAATGATATCACATTTCTTGTTGGAAACAGTGAAAGAAAGAAGGCAGTAAAGCAACACCTTTAAAATATTGAAAGAAAAAAATTGTCAACCTAAAAGTCTATACTCAACAAAACTATCTTTTTAAAAGATGAAGGCAAAATTTTCAGCACAAAAAGTTGAAAGCATTTATCAACAGCAGACTTGCACTACAAGAAATATTGAAGGAAATCCTTCAGGCAGTTAAAATATGATACCAGATATAAATGCAGATCTACAAAAAGAAATGAACAGTACCTTTATTGTAGTAAATATACATTTACTACAAGAATAAATATACAATTTTTCTTCTTTTTTAAAACTCATTAAAGATAAACTTTTTAAACAAAAAATAATAGCAATGTATTGTGGGGTTTATAAAATAGGTAAATGTAAAATGACATCAGTAACATCAAGTCTGAAAGAAAGAAATTTAAGTACACTATTATAATCTTCTTATACTATACATAAAATAGTATAATATCAGTCAAATGTTGACTATGATAATTTAAAGATGCATTCTACAAATTCTCAAGCAATTAAAGAAATAACAGAACAGAGTTATAGGTATTGAACAAACAAAGGAGAAAAAACAAATCATAAAGTACACTTAAGTTATCCAAAAGAAGGCTGAAAAACAAAAATAAAAACAGACCAGATGGGACAAGTATAAAATGAAAAGCAAAATGATACAATCAAACCAAATCCTATCAATAATCACATTAAATGTAAATTGTCTAAACACCCAATTAAAAGGCAGAGATTGTCAGACTGGATAACAAAGCAAGACCCAACCATATCCTGCCTATAAGAAAATCACTTTAAATATAAAAATACAAATAAGTTTTAAGTAAAAGAAAAGAAAAGAAAATATATACCATGTTAATACCACCTAATAGAAAGTTGGAGACTATATTAAAATTAGACAAAGTGAAGAAATAAAGAAGGTCATTTAATGATGATAAAGGGATCAATTAAATAAGAGGACATAGCAATTCTAATGTCCAGGCACCTAAAAACAGAGCTCAAAATACATAAAACAAAAACTGATAGGACTGCGGGGAAAAATAAACAAATTCGAGTATTGTTATATGTTTTAATATCCCTCTCTTAATAATTGATAGAACATATAGGCAGAAAATCAACAATAATATAGCAGACTTGAACATTTTTAACAATCAACTTGGCCTAATGGTTATTTAAACATACTCTGCCCAAAAAACAGAATATATGTCCTTCTCAAGTGTACACAGAACATTTACCAAAATAAACTATTCTGGGCCATAAAATTAATATCAAAAAATTTCAAAGGTTTCAAGGCACACAAAGTATATTTTAGGACTGCAACAAAATTAAATTAAAAGTAATTAACAGAAAGATCTCTGGAAACCCTTCAATATTTGAAAAATAAATAACATACTTTTAAGTTATTCAGAGGTTAAGAAGAAAAGGAAAATTAGGAAGTATTTTTAACTGAATGAAAATGAAACAACAACATATCAGAATTTGGAGGATGCCATTAGAGGAGTACTTAGGAGAAATTTACAGTATATAACCCCTATGTTAGAAAAGAAGAAAAGTCTGAAAGCAATGACCTCAGCTTCAACCTTAAGAAACTAGAAAAATAAAAAATTAAACCCAAAGTAAGAAGAAAAAAATAATAAAGATCAAAGCAGAAATAAACAAAAAAGAAAAATTAGTGAAACCAAAAGCTGGTTCTTTGAGAAGATCAATAAAATTAACAAACATCCAGTCAGACTGAGCAGGAAAAAAGAGAGAAGACACAAATTACCCAATATCAGGAATAAAAGAGGTGGCATCATTATAGATTCTACAGAGATTAAAAATATAATAATAGAATACTAAGAACAACTTTATGCCAATAAATTCAACAACTTATGAGGAACTGAGCAGCTTTCTGGAAAGACAATTATGAAAGCTAATTCAAGAAAAAAATGAATAACTTGAATACCCTATATCCATTAAGGAAATTGAAACTGTATTTAAAAACCTTACCAACAAAATACTGTATACCCAGTTAGGTTCACTGAAGAAATCTACCAAACATTAAATGATGAAATAATACCAATCCTATATAAACTCTTCCAAGACATTGAAAATGAGGAAATACTTCCCAACTCATTCTGTCAGGCCAGCAGGACCTGAATACCAAACCAAAGAAAGACATTATACGAAAACTACAGACACTATGCCTCATGAACATATAAACAAAAATTGTAAACAAAATTTTATCAAATCAAACCCATTAACATATAAAAGAGATAATCTATCATGACCAAATGAAGTTTATCACAGGAATATTGAATTGGTTTAACATTCAAAAATCAATGTACTTTACCACAGTAACAAAGAAATAAAAATCATATGATTAATATCAATAAAGAGAAAGCATTTAACAAAATCCAACATTTATTCCTGATCATGAAAAAATAAAAAAAAACCTCTCAGCAAATTAGGAATAGACAGTACCTAAAAAAGCCTACAGCTAACATCATCCTTAATAGTGAAAGACTGAATGCTTTCCCCCTAAGATTAAGAACAATACAACGATTCTGCTCTCGTCACTTCTACTCAAAATTATAATGAAGTTTCTAGCACCTAGTCAAGGAAAAAAAAAACATGATCAGGTAAATAAGGGGGAAAGATCAGAAGAAATAAGGAAATAAGTGATTAGTTCCAGGTAAAACAAAACAATGAAAAAAGGGGAACAATGAGAAAATGAAGAAATGAAATCACACTGGGAGATTACTTTCCACAGTTATGTCTAAATAAAGATATCAGATGTATGTATGTAAATATATCAGCTTCCTACTTAAAAACTACCTCAGTAAATAAGTAAATTATAAGATACTAGTGAGGAGATAAATGCAAATTCTAAATAACTTACTGACATATATTCATATACTGCTTTTGCTAACTTCAACAAAGCATTCTTTGGGCATTATTAACATATTCCCTAAAACAGATGGATAAACTACTGAAATCTAGTATAAATATGAAACAAATGCTTGACATTTCTTCTTTAAATTCCATAGTCAAGTATTTCATTAACATTAAAACAAAAACAAAGGGGAATGTAACTTCCAAAGGTATAAAAATATGAAACAGAATCTCAATGCTAAAAAGGGCCTCTTTCAAAAGAAAGTAAATGGGCCAAAGGAAGAACAAATCTACAAAGTTTGTAAATGCATGTGTAGTTACACAGAACTCTGTATCAATACTCTCTCAGACTTTAATCAGTCGTATGGCTTTGAGAATGAACTGTCAGTCTCTCTGGATCTGAGTTTTCTGCCCCTATGAAATAAAGAAGTAAGAAACAATCGATCTCTAAATTCTCTTCCTCATCTTTGAAAGTCTAAGATCCTATGATTCTAAACAAAATCATAAGCTAACTGACATGAAACAATAAGACAAATATCTTTTTAGTTCAGTGAAAAAAAACTTAAAACAACTTTAATCTAAAATGAAGACAATAGAGAAGGTCTTTGTTCTTTGGTTAATCTGAATATTATTTTCAGTTATCTTCTTTATTTTATTCACAATAACTTTAACTATAAGAAAACTGTTACATGTAATTTTCACTTCTGTACCTTGTTTGAGCGTAATGACACTCGACCTCCACAACGAGCACAAAACTTTGTTTGGCAATATGAACAGTTATGGCCACATCCATCAGCAAACTTTGTTTTGTGACAGATACCACAGGTTGGGGCATCACCCTTCTGTTCTTGCTGTTGCTGTGATTCTTCTCCCATCTTTTTTACCTGCTCCTTATACATTTCAAACTGCTGATGCAGTTTTCTGCAGAAAAAACAGATAAGAAAAAATTGGTTTCCTAATGGGCTCAAAGAAAAAAAACTACCACAATCTACAGACACAACTTTATAACCTAAAAATATAGACGATTAAAATAAAAGAATAAAAATTTAACTTTCTGATGACAAAATAACATCGTGTATGGCACATTATTTTATCATAAAAATGTTGCAACTAGTTCTACCTTTTGATTTACATATTAAGAACTAATTAATACAATATATATTTATGGAGACATTTCTTTAAATGATCATTCTAAAATTACTACCTACCGTTTACAATTTATTGTCAATCATATGCTCTAAAACATTTACAACTCTATTTATCAACAGTTTAGTTTCAAAACATAGGAAGCTAATTTGACTTACACAGTAAAGCCAAAACCTATGAACTTCAAATCATTGAGTTTCAGTCTCAATGAAGTGATCTGAAGAATCCAAACAGAAGAAATAAAACTGGACAAATGTTCTCTCTAATTCTCTAATTATTTAAATCTGTTCAAGAGTCTGTACACTAGTTGGCTGTAAAAACACTAAAATATTAGCAGCTCAACAAATGAGGCTGTGTAAATGAAAGTAAAGTCAAGTTTTACTTTAAAAATAAAATAAAAAGAAGAAAAAAGATGACTAGAAAAGAGTAGTATTTACTTTAATTAAAAATAGTAATAAAACTTTTCACTTCCACTGGCTTTATAGTGAAAATTGAAAATGCTTAAAAACTATAATTAGTTCACTTTAGGATTTAAAAAAATGCAAATAATGTCACTCCCACCCTAACAATGACAAATGGCTAAATAATAAAGCAAATAATCTGAATTCCAAAGAGTGATAAGCCTCTCAAAAAAAAAAAAAGAGAGAGAGACACCCTAACTATTGCACTTTTGGCAAAATACATGCAAAGGAGGTGGCCACCACACAGGCAAATAAGAGGAAATCAGTTAAAATTTTAACATATTGTTAAAGGCCAAGAGTGGGCTAACATGACAGTTTGGAACCTTTAGAGACCCAGATTCAAAGGAAGCTCACACTCACTCACAAGCACTTTTTCACAGGAGTCCACTGAGTGCTTATGATGAATATTAGGAACAGGGCAGGAAAACAAAAAGAAAGCCTCCCCTTTTGGGGGATGAACATGTGCAGTCATAAAAGAATTGACTAGTGGCTGATGGGGCACAAGCACAATTCCCCAGACCTTCTCTCCTAGAACAGCAAAAGCTTTAAGCCACGGGAAAAGAAAGTAAACTCCTGTCATCCCCAGGATATAGGAAAAGACCCATTGCAGTTAGGAAAAAGGTTGAAGGAAAAAAACCATGAAAGAGGGGCAGAAAACCATCTTGGGCCCAGTATCTCACCCAAATACAAATCAGAGGTCTTTAACCACTAGGAGAGGGGAGGAAACTCCTGCCCCAAACCAATCAGAGATACAAGGTAGATTTGCTTCAGTGGGAAGAAGAGAATGGGAACTCTGAGCAAGCCCCATTCCCAAAGCCCAGGTAGAGAAGGCCTGTCAAAGAAGGAGATTAGAAAAACATAACTAAGAACACCATTTCCCCTACCAGAAGCCCAACATCAAATAGGGAAAAGAAGGAAGGGACAAGAGCATGGAGAGAGACCCCTCCCCTTCCACAGTACAGGTGTGTGAAAATGGCTGCAAGGGTAGCAAAAACACTGAAAAAATTTCTGGTACTCCAGCATTCATCTTAAACAAAAGGCAACAGCAGCCCATTGTTAGAAGAATTTAAAGATTATGGTACACTAAAGATAATGATGGCAAAAACAAAATCCAATTCCTGGACTCCTGACTTGATTGGTGATTCTATCCCCAACACTAATAGCCTGACAGAAGCAGCATGCCTACATCAAGGCTTAAATACAATTCAAAACCATGGCACATAGGGGGAATAAAAAATAAATAAATAACCCATTCATTATGAAGAGATAAAATAATCAATATAATTAGACTCAGAGATGAGATGGATGTAGGGATTATCACATGGAGACTTAAATGATTAAAATTATGAAGATAAAGGATATATGGAAAAAGTTGGAAACATGCATGAACAGATGGGGTATTAAAGCAGAAAAACTATAAGAAAGAGTCAAATGGAAATTCTGGAATAGAAAACATGCTATAAAAGATGAAAAATTCCTTTCATGGGCTCATGAGTAGACTCGAAATAGCTAAGGAGAAGTCAATAAATTTGAAAATTAGTCAATAAAAATTATACAAACTGAAACAGAAAGGGAATAAAAAAGAGGAAGGAAAGACAGTAACAGCAGAGCAACTAAGAATTAATCTGATCTAAAACATGCAAAATTGGAGTCCCAGAAGAAGAAGGGAGAGAACAAAATGGAGGAAATATTTGAAGGGACAATGATCAAGAATTTACCAAAATTAACAAAAGACACCAAATCAGATACAAAAACCTCAGAGAATCCCTAGTAAACAAATACCTTGGAAGCACACACACACACACACACACACACACACACACACTGCTAAAAACCAAAGATAAAGAGAAAACTATGAAAGTATTCAAAAAATACACATTATATACAGAGAACCAATAGTAAGAATTACAGATGATTACTCTTCCAAAACAATGCAAGCTAGAGTACAATGGAGTGATGTCCATAAAGTACTGACAGAAAAAAACTGTCAACACAGGATCCCATACACAGTGGAATAATGATTCAAAAAATGAAGGCAAAATAAAGACTTTTTCAGGCAAACAAATGATGAAAATTCATTGGCAGCAGACCTTCACTGCAAGGAACTTATAGTAAATTCTTCAGACAAAAACAATATGATACTCCTTGGAAGAATCATGTGGAAAACTGGACCTAAACAAGGAAATAAACACTTATATTAAAAGTAAAAAGGGTCCCAGATCAGTAATCTAAGTTTTTACCTTCAGAAACTTAAAAAAAGAAGAGAAAGTTAAACTCAAAGAAAGCAGAAGAAAGTAAATAAAAAATATTAGAGTGGAAATCAATGAAACCAAATGCTGATTCTTTGAAAAGATCATAGGGACTGATGTCAACAAGATGGGGAAATAAGATTTCAGAGTTTGTTTCCCCATAGAAACATCAATTTGAACAACTATCCACACCCAAAAATATCTTCAAGACAAGAGCTAAGGAAACCAGGTAAGAAATTACAGCACTTGTGTGTGGCACAGATATAAGAAAAAACACATTTAAGGACAATTTTACACTTCCCATGTCAACCCTCCCCAAATCCAAGGTAGCACAACATGGAGATATCCTCTGCTGGGGGAAGGGGAGAAAAGTGAGCGGTGGACTTTGCCTTGGATTCCAACACCAGGCCCACCTCTGTAAAAAGTAGTACTGAGTAAGCCCCCACAGCCCCAGATTCAGGCTGTTACTCGCAGATTGAGCTTCCAGGCCCATTCAAGCACTAGCCAGATTTCCACAGTCCCAGGCTCCAAGCCTGCCCAGCTGACTTTGGGCCTGCCCTAGCACCAAGCAAGCCCCCAAAGACCCATGCTTCAGGTCAGCCCCAGACTCAGGAACCAGGTGTCCCACAGCCCCAGACTCCATACCAAGCAGACTTGGTCTCTTTGGCCTGCCCCATATGAAGGATGACTCCAGCATCCTCAGGCTCGAGACCACCCCCAGAACTGGGCTATCCACAACAGCCCCAAGCTTCAGGCCTGTGCCAGTATCAGGCCATCCCTGCAGCCCAATCTTCAGGCTGACACCTGTGGACCCAGCCTCCAGACCAGCCCCTATAGATATAGGCTTCAAGCCTGCAGAGCACCAGACCAGCCTCTGTGGCCTCAGGATCTAGGTTGGTACCCACAGATTGAGCCTCCAAGCTCACCCTGGTGCCTGGCAGGATCCCACAGACCCAGGAAACTGTCCAGCAAACTAGGATTCCAGGCCATTCCAGCACCAGACCTACCCAAGCAGCCCCAGGTTCTGGGTTGACACAGTGCTGGCCCAGGGCCTTGGGCTGACGCCAGAACAAGGCCAACCCCCAAAAACTCAGGCTCCAGGCCCCTCCCCAGATCCAGGAAAGCCCCAGCAATACTGGGCTCCTGACCACCCCCAGCACCAGGCTGGCCCACATAACCCAAGGCTAAGGAACACCCCAGCAACACACAGGCCCCAGAATCCCCAGTCATCAAGCCAACACCAGCAGATGCAGCCTCCAGGCACCCTGAATATACAGGGTCCAGGCCCATCCAGCCTCATGCACCAGGCGTATCCTAGGTTTCAGACCAGCCCAGAGCCAAATCAGTCCACACAGCCTCAGGCATCAAGCCCACCAGAGCCAGATCAGCACCCATGGCTTAGGGCAAACCAGCACCTACCGACACAGATTCCAGGACTTCCCAGAGTCAATCCAGTCCCTGAGGTCCCACACTTCAAGCCAACCCTTGCAACCCCATGCTCCAGCAGATCCAGGGTTTAGACTCATCACAGCATACGCCAGTGCCAGGCCAACCCATACAAACCTAGGTCCCATGTCCACCCTGGTGATTTCAGGCTCTAGGATCTTTCCAGCATCAGGCCAACCCCCACAAACTCAGGCTCCTTGCCCATCCCAGGGTACCTGGGTACCCAGCCCATCCCAGCACCTGTCCAGTCCTGCCAACATAGGCTCAAGACCTATCTCAATGTCAGGTCAGCCCCTGCAGGCCCAGGCTTCAGGCCAGCCCCCACTGATATATAATCTAGGATCAATCCTGTGAACTCAAACAGGTCCACCACAGTGGATCAAAATTCAAGGTGCAACCCAATAGATCCAGAGGCTAGGGCCACACACCTGCTGACCCAGGCACCAAGTAAGTCTTCCTAAGAATGCCAGCAG